TTTATGGACAAAATAATTTAATCTCAAAATGACTTATTTTTTTAGACAAAAAATTTGATCCTAAAAAGATAATAATTCATCACTAATATCTAATTTTCGTTACTAAAAATATAATAACGACAGTTTTTGTAACAAAAATGTTTGGTGCCAAAAAAATAATTTTATCCATAAATTTTAATTTCTAAAACCTTAATTTTTTATGGTGTGGGTTAACCCTTTGTTGTTAATTAATAATAGGCCATAGCTTCTGATTAATGATTTTAAAACTATCAACTTGAAATGTTGATTAGGAATGTATAACCCTGTTGATATCAGGTGGTGGTACTCCCATTTAATGAGTAAATTTATTTTGTAATAAGAACCACAATAGAATCTATTGTAATTGTAATTTATCTTAAGTTGAAAAATATAAGTCACCACTCTCCCAATTTCTGGACAATTAGTTATTTTTTTAAACTTATTTAAATTATTTATGATTTATGAATTGTAAATACTAGTAATTATAGCAAATAAACTGACACAAACTCCTGCGAGCTTGTTTGGTACAACTTTTAACAAATTAAAAGTTAATAATAATAAAAAAAACATAAATTAAAAACACCTCATCTTGCTTCTTAATAATGAGAAGATATTGAGAAGATATATAAGCAAAAACTATCAAAAATAAATAAATAAATAAATCATAACTTGCATCAAATGGAGGGCTTAAAATCAACCTAGCTAGTTAATAATGAGAAGATATTGAGAAGATATATGTGTGTGTGTTTTTATAATACTCAAATGGAGGGCTTAAAATCAACCTAGTTAATTATATATGAAAAGATGAAAAGTTAATATTATTGTTTAACAATTTTACATAGAACCTGCATAACAATTAACAAGACTTCAGTCCAAAAGGAGAGGCCAAGATAAAATTTGCAAAGTGGGCCATTCCAGTTTTATAAAAAAAAATAAAAAAAAAAGCATTCGCCTTTCAATACCATTCCCACAACATATTATGCATGCTTAGAAAGTTGGAAGATAAAATCATATCATATACATGGAAAATTTTACAATGTGCACCCTTTTAAATGGTATACAATGTAAAAAATTATGATTTTTTATGATGAATGTTATAATTGTTTGTGATGTGTGTTATGATATTTTGTAGTAAAGTTATAAATAGCGAATTTATGATCTGCACCATAAAATTAGGAATGATAATGTCATGATATTTTGTGATTTTTGTTATGACACTTTGAGATTTTGTTATGACATTTTTCAGTGAAAAAAAAATTATGACTTTTGTAGTAAAAAAGTTATGATATTTTGGGTTTAAGATATGAAATTTTGTGAAAAAATTATGAAAAATATACCATATGCACCTTTTTGAAAGCGCACATTGTAACATCTCTCCATATACATATATTAGAGAGAGAGAGAACGTTGATATATATATATATATATCAATGAAATATTTTATTGAAATTATTCAAAATCCTTCGTGGCTTTTTATGTGGCATGCCTAATCCTTCTTTTTTTTTAAATATTACAAGTCCTACACATAGATATGACACTTATTATATAGTACATAAATAAGGGAATCCAGCTCTTGGAAATACAGAGAATTTGGATACACAATGATTCAAGCATCTTTTGTGCCATCTGACAATGTCAATTGTAAATGGGTTTGCTAGCCATTAATCTGCTGCCGCACCAATTTGTTTTAGGTTGGGTTTAGATTTATCATTTTGATAGAAATTTGCATAGGAAGAGGAAAAAGTAAGAAATAAAGAAAAAACTTGAATTCGTATTTTTCTTACCTTTACTTTTCTCTTCACAAATCTCTACCCAAATGTTAAATCCAAACACAATCTGCTTAAAATAAAATAAATGCTCAATTTTATATAAAAAAGATACCGTTAAAAAAGGGTGCAACATTTTTGAGTGGGAAGCAATTGCCCCCTACCAATAGTAGCACTTCCTACTCAGCAGCATCATACCAAAAGTAAAACAAATCAAAGAAAAAAAATATTAAAAATGATACAGACCCCACAAACACCCCGCCCCTACAACCCCCACACACGTGTCAGAGAGATAGGAAAAGAAAAAAAAAAAACAAAAACAAAAACACACATGACCAATCACAATCATCGGGGGTCATGGGATCTCCCCTAAGAAGCACGGACACTTTTAAGAAGGTGACGTATTCGTGTCGTATCCGTGTCGGACACCGATACTCTTTGGACACTCTCAGGACACGTGTCCGACACTCTTCAAAACGTGTCCTATTTTTTAAATTTTTTTGAAGACTTGGACACTCTTTGGACACTTGAAGGACATACGTGTCCATCACTTAAATACAAGTGTCTAACGATTAGACATATATGAAATTAATTATAAGTTTGAACAAAACAACTTAAGATACAATAATAAAACAAAAACTATATAAATTTATAGGAATTAGTATCATATTGTATTTTTTATTATCTTTTTAATGATATATTCATATATATAACATATAATAAATACATAAAATTACATATTTCATGCGTGTCCCTCACGTGTCGTGTCCTACATTTTTTGAAAATTAACGTGTCAGCGTGTCCGTGTCGTACTCGTGTCGTGTCACGTGTCCGTGTCCATGCTTCTTAGGATCTCCCAAAATGGAGGTCCCAAGTATTTTCCAAAAAAATATATTCAGTACTACTTGAGAATGATGTCGTATAAACTAGCTAGCTAAAAGTAGCAAAAAAGGTGACAGAAAAGTTAGCAAAACTCACTTGTCTCACTGCTTACTGATAAAATACAATATAAGTAAATCAAACAAAACTTTGTGTCCCAATCAGATTAGATTAACTAGATAAATCTTTTTCTACCATTTCACTCTGTCAAGAGTTACAATATTAGTAAATGCAGAAATATGAAATGGTCTTAAGGGGGTCAATACAGGTGTCTGTTTGTACACATTTCTAAGTGGAAGAGAAAAAAGGTGGCAATTCTCTCATCCAGCCCTCGTGACTTCAACTATAAATATGTGATTTCATATGTGAGCTTCCCATCCCCAAAATCTTTCCCTTATTCATCATCTTCTGAGATAATAGATCTTATTAAGAATAAGAAATGGGTTTTGCAGCTAAGAGCTGTTGCTCTCTTCTCTTTGTCATGGTGCTTTTGCCTCTAGTTTGTTACTCCCAGGATGCTTATGTGTGCTCTAGAGCAACCTATTATGGTAGCCCTGATTGCATAGGGACTCCAAGTATGTGTTCTCTCCTATATATACACACATGGTACTGATGTATATGTGTATCAACAAATATATGTATATATATATGTATATACATTTCTACATTGATGATTTATCTACAATGATTAAAATGTGTTTAATGATGTTAAATTAGCTGGAGCCTGTGGGTTTGGTGAATATGGAAAAACCGTCTATGATGGAGGCGTGAGTGGGGTTTCTAGGCTGTACAGGAATGGAACTGGCTGTGGTGCATGCTATCAGGTAATTCAATTAAAAAACAACTTAATATTTTTGAGTTTATTTGAGCTTGAAAGTAACAAAGAATGAAGTGTTGGACACTTCTAAAAGTATATTTGGAAGGATATGCATAAATACTGTTAAGGATATGCATAAATACTGTTAGGTTCCCACGTAAAATTTCAAAAAAACAAATAAATATTTGATTGTGAGGCTTGTGACTATGTTAAAGTGCAACAACTTTAAGCTATATACCTTTCTTGAAGGCAAGAAATAGGCAGCCAATTGAAGTTGTTTCAGAACAAATAAAAAAAGTAGCTCCCTTATTTTTGTGTCTACAATGGAAGTTATTTGTTTATTGACAACTACAGGTTAGGTGCAAAGTACCACAACTTTGCACTGAAGATGGAGTGAGGGTAGTGGTGACAGACTATGGTGAAGGGGACAAGACTGACTTCATCCTAAGCACTCGCGCCTACTCAAGATTGGCTCGTCCCAACGCAGCCTTGGATTTGTTTGCCTATGGCGTGGTTGACATAGAATACCGGAGAATTCCTTGCCAGTATCCAGGTTACAACCTCATGGTCAAGGTTCATGAGCACAGCAGGTTCCCTCAGTACCTAGCCTTAGTCATGTTGTACCAAGCTGGCCAAAACGACATCACCGCCGCAGAAGTGTGGCAGGTACAGTCTTCTATAAACAAATTTGGTGAACTGGGTATTGTAAACAAGTTGTCTTTGTGTACATATCATTTAAGGGCAACCTAGTGACGAGGCTCTTGCTAAAGCAGGGTCTGGAAAGTCTAATAGTCATATATTTTCTTGATGCAGGCAGATTGCCAGCAATGGAGGGGTATGCGAAAGGCCTACGGTGCAGTATGGGACATGGCTAACCCACCAGCAGGGGCACTTAACTTCAGGGTCCAAGTAAGTGGCAGTGCAGGGTTGAAGTGGGTGCAGCTGAGTAGTGTGATTCCTAGTGAATGGAAAGCTGGGGCTGTTTATGACACAACAATTCAGCTTACTTAAGCCCTATGAAACTCCTAATCCCAATGAAGACAAGTATATCTCAGTATGCGAAGTAGGAGCTGCTTATTAATTATTTCCTAGTAGTTTTGATTAAGTGATTAAAGTTATGTTTGTCTACGGTGTTAGAGCTAGTGCTCTTCACCTTTCTCAAAAAAGAATCGGATTGTGTACTATGTTTATTTCACATGCAAATAATGCAGCTAAAAGAGTGTGGACCCAACTAACTCTCAACCCTATCCAAACTCTTGGTGATACTCTGAACACTACGATTTTATGGTTAAAAAATAAGAGTTAACAACCTTTTAAATAAAAAGTTTCAAAGGCCAGCTCACAATCAAGCTAATTTGCAAAAGAAACTAAACAAAACGCCGATCTTATGTAAGAGTAAAGGGTATTGATATTGCAAGCAATTTGTCACTCCTAAGTAACCATCACATTAAACAAATACGAGAAACATAAAGTTGCAATGCAGAAACACTACAAAAAAAAAGTCACTTACGTCATAACTCTTCCACAAAATTCACATGTACAAATTCCAAATCATGCAAAATCAGCAAAACATGAAAAAAGAGCCATCATTCCAAACTATAGAAGGTTACCAGTTTAGCGCTTCAGAATTTTTTCCCCAAAATCACTAATTCAGCATGTGTTATCAGAAAACAACATGACTACTTGAGAAACCACAATCAAAAAACTGATGTACAGACTAACGTTTGAGCTGCCACTACCTCAGAATATGATACGAACGAAACTATTTTAACCTTCTTTCAATTCTCCTTTTGTCTGCTTCCATTAAAAGCAAGGCTTGCCCATCTAAACAAGAACCGTAAGCAAATCCCTGAAAATTAAGGGATGAGATGTAAAGTTTTTGCATTCATGAATTAGATACTATATTACTTTAAGCATGAAGAAAATTTTATGATTTGTGAGGGCAGCCAGTTCAAGCAAATAGAGCTGAAGTTATTTCTGTACCACATCCCCCCCAGAGGTTTACGCCACTTTGTGAATTGGCTAGAAGTAATATCATTTTATATCTATAAAGTATGATCATAAATAAAAACCAGTGACAACATGATTTTGGGAAACCATCATAACGATAATGACATAATTAGATAACTGTTCAAGGTGTCTACATCAAGAAAACATTATCACAAATGAGAGACATAAAAATGCTGGAAAAAAGACCCTCAAAGTTACAACATGCAAAAATCAAGACATAATATGTTTTAGTTTGATTGAAATAACTAATAATTTCAGAAACAAGAAAGAGGAAGATGATGCACACAGCCAAGCCCCATGGCAAAGTTACAGTGCTGCAGGAGTACAGTAGCCTGTAGCCAGTGACAAACTCAGCCAAGGTTGCCTCCAACCCAAATGACAATTTGAAGGTGCAAAGTATTGAGTTACAAGTAACTCAATCACAGCTCACATACATACCAACAAGCACAAGGAGATATTGTAAAACATTGTATATTGTAATCTGTTAAGGTCCTGCAATCTTTGTTTATGTAACTTTATGTCATGTTGAAAAGTTTAGCAGTGTTGGGGTGTGTTTCAGTTCATGAAAATGATATTTGTCTGTATGTGTGCATCCATATCTTCTTGTTTCTGTTGGGGCATCCCAAGTACATGCTGAAACTAATTCAATATACAGTCTAGCACAGAGAGTAGATAATAAATCAAGTTCCACAACAAAGTAGTCAACGAGAACTTACATTAAGACACACGGAATTTCTAATTCTGGAAAACCCCAAACTTTGTTCCCTGCATCAATACATCCTGCCAGTGCACTCTGCAGCACCACAATAGCAGCTCTTCATCTTAATATTTCCATTCAAATCTCGAACCTGATCGACGAAGTAATTATAGTGGTAAGTCAGCTCCTTCAAGGGAGGAATGTTTTCTGCAGCAAAGAGCATTATGTGGGGTTTACTCTTGTCCTCGTGATCATAGAGGACATTCTGAGCATAAAGGTTAGGGGAACAACTATGGTTGATGAACCTCCCCACATTCCCACACTGCGCTGCATCGATTGTGAAACACTCATCCTCCACAACTTCACTAGAACTTAACTGTACAACAGGCTTGAGAGTCAAAAGTCCACCAATGAGAGAACAATCACTGACATTGTGTCCAATATCAAACAAGTATTCATCATTTTGTCTTTTTTCAGCTTCCTTGTCTTCAAGAAGCTCCCCAATATACTCGCATATAAAACTTCCTGAAGGAATAGAAGTTAGGGATCTAACACCCCAGCCCCTTGACTTCGTTTTGAAGATTTCAAGCTGTATTTTCATGCCATGCTGACTGACTTTATTGTAGCAAGAAGGAGGGCATTTGCAAGAAGGACCACACTCATATACAAGAGGCTTTGCGTCAACGATAGACCCATTGCAGTCGTATGGAATCTTTCCTCCATTATTGAACATACATGAGCATTTTTTAGAGTCCAAGCATCCACTGATACAATCACAACCCTTGGGAGCAGTAGGGCACCAATCAGGATATTTCATCTCAGTTATATAATTGAATTTGGGTGGTCTCTTATTGTCTACGGTGTTAACAGCACAAATGGGAAATAACTCTTTCTTCCCTCCTGATATATCACCAACACAAAGACCCTCCCGAATTTTAGATCTTATTGATTTCTTCACTTCTTTCCAAGCAAGCTTTGGTTGGCCTGGAATTCTCTTCAACTCGAACTTAAAAACCAGCTTACCATGTGGCCCTACATCACGCATGTATCTCTCCACTGTATACAAGCCATCATAAGTATATGTCAGAACAATCTTGGCTCTTGCATCCAAGGTAGATAATTTTGTCTCTTTAGAACCACGGATTACCCGAACAGGATTCTTTGCTGATATACTATTTTTCAGAGCCAAGTTTCCTCTTTCAAGTTTCTGGTCTTCAGGTTGTTGTTTATCCCGACCAGTTATATTTCCTCCATGACCAGAGTTTATTAAAACATCAGGGTTGTCCAAATCATCTGCATAACCACCTGAGGCAACAATGCTTGTTGCAATGATCATTCCACCATCTTTCATGTAATCAATACCAGCTTTTCAGAGCCAAGTTTCCTCTTTCAAGTTTCTGGTCTTCAGGTTGTTGTTTATCCCGACCAGTTATATTTCCTCCATGACCAGAGTATATTAAAACATCAGGGTTGTCCAAATCATCTGCATAACCACCTGAGGCAACAATGCTTGTTGCAATGATCATTCCACCATCAATACCAGCCTGATAGAGACGATGAATGCCAACAAGAGCAAGCTCCACCCTGTATTGAAACTCATCACCTACATCGACTCCCGGCACTGATCCTATTATCTGTTTGCCTGTGTTAACTTCTTTTCCTTTAGCTCTGATAATCTGTGCTGCGTTCAGATCAGGCCTTCTGCTCAAGTATCCTTGTTTCTTCAAATTTGCTTCTTCTCCTTGCAAGAGCTTCCTACAAATAGCTTGGAATAGACGTTGTGTTTCCCTCACTTTGTTACGCACATTACCATGACTCGAGCTATCAGGACCAAAAGGAGGCAGGATCACCTGAAAATCATGTGGTCTCTGACCTGCAGGAGAATCTTCATCTTGCTCACATATGGAAAAATCTCCCTTATCCTTGACAACCTGTGCACCTTTATTTTCATATGAAGCGTTTCCAGAAGGAAGCAATTTCTTCTTCAGATCCCTCTTTTTGGCATTTTCATCTCGAACATCCCTGTCCAATTCTTCAATGCCAGTCCTTGCTGTCTTTCTCACTAGACTACATTCCTCTTTAGCCCTCACTGTCTCTCTTGACAGCGTACCCTGCACAGCGCCCTCAACTGGAGCAACTGAAGTCTTGTTTCCCAAGACAATTCTCAGGCGCTCTTCCTCAGTCGGACAAATAGCATTCATTCCACAAAAAGGAGGGAATTCACAAATAGCTCTAACCCTTGCCCTAAAATATTTAGCTTTCAGGTTAGTCTCCTTCGAAACATTGCCATCACTAATAGGCCGCTCTGGAGGAAAACATGGTTTTGCACCACTTGATGGAACCCTCCCATCAGCCATAGAAACAATCTCCAAAAACAATTTTGCTTTCTGGTGCACCCGGAAAAAAATATAACAAATGGAAATTAGTGCAGGCAGGCTAATGAATATGGACAGATATGAACGGGAAAGAGAAAATAGACAAAATTCATGAGATGTATCTATACATTAAAGGTACGAGAAGTTGTGAAACTAAACAAATTAGAGTTGAAATGTAACCAACGATAAATTTAGAACACCTAATATGTTAGAAGTTGCAGTTCTGGTCAAGAGAACACAAACTGATTAGAAAGGACACCAATCAACACAAACTGATTTGTGTCTGTGACACAGTACTTGAATGGAGAGAGTTCTTGCATACCCATTATTTTTGGTAATAGTGGAAATTTCAAATTTGCCTCGTGGTTTTCCTCTCTTTCATTGAAGGTTTTCCACATAATGTTTGGTGTTCTATGTGGTTATGTATTTTTTCTTGTCTCCTTAATCCATTGTTGCATTTTTCAGTTCACACTTGATCGTGGTTGGAAGCGTATTTTCCTCAGAGCCAGCCAAACCCAGAACCGAACTGATCTTGGTTGGTTCTTAGTTTTAGACCCAAAACCGAAACAACCCAACCCGAGGAAATTCCAGTTGGATCGGATTGGCTCGCACGTCTAATTGTGTTGTATAAAGCTTGACCTATTCATTGTTTTATTTTATTACTATAATGCAAAACAATAGAGACCTATCTAGTACCCACATGAGACTTAGTGATAACCAATAACATTCTATTATATAAAGCATACAACTCATTTGGTGTGAACTTTTGTCATACAATTTTGATTACCAAAAAACTACAACCCTATATTTCGTTCCAAATATTTACTTTTGCCTAGCGGTTATTGTATCGACTAAAAAGTAAAATCAATTGCTACCCACTACACAAACACAGACTCTCTCTTCACTCTTACCCACCCATAATCTCCATATTGACAGTTTCAAGTGCATGCGGTGTGCCCAATTAAACTATAAAACATATAAAATTTTGTAAAAGCTTTTCAAGGATCGGTTCACAGGTTAGTTCGGGTTACCAGTCACCAACCCCACACAGAGCCAAACTAAATTGGCTGAATTTGAAATTTTCTGGCATAAAACTGAACAGAAACCAATGCTAGAACTGTAGAACTAAACCAAACCAACCCATGAAGGCAGGACTGGTTCGGTTCACAGTTTATTTGGTTCTTTTGTGCACCCCTATTTTTCCCAGATGTGAAATAAAACCAATTAGGGTTCAAATGCAACAAAATAAATTACGTTTGGAATTTACCAACCAATAAAAAGATGCCTACCCATTCTAAGGAACAGTTGAAATGCTTTCTAAGGAGACTAAATTACTGTCAGCTAGAGCACCATTTGACATTGACAGCATTCCCAACAATTAAAGACAGAAAATTGATTGTTTGGGTAGGGTTGTAAATGAGTCGAGTGGAGCCAAACAATAAGTTGTTCAAGTTTGACTTGAACTTAAAAATTTTCAAAAATTGTTCTAACTTGACTTGTTTACCTTTGAGCTTTTAATTGAACTGGTAATGAGCTAAGCATGAATAGCTTGGTTTTTGTAGTATATAACTAAGGCATCGTTTGAGAAGTTAGCTATTTTAGTTTTTGGCTATTTTAGTAGGCTAAAATATTTGTGTTTGGAAAGATGGTTAGATTTTTTTAGTTGGATGTGATGTTTATAAGAGAAAAAGTGAAATGGTTATAGGTTCGATGTAACATTTTGTCTTATTGGTTATTTTAGCCTATTTTATCTTTTTGTGGATTTTAGCCCAAAAAGCAAAAATTAGCATTTGCCAAACAAACTCTAAGCCAAGACGGTTAGTAAGATATTCAAGCTCGACTTAAAGACTTAATGAGTTTTAGAATATATTCCAGATAGACCTGCTTCCGTAAGGAGTCAATCTGAAATGGCATTTGACAAACCGAATACAAGTCGAGCTCAGAGTAGCTTGATTCATATTATGGCCTACGTTTTGGTGGCTAAAAAACGTGCATAAATTATTATTTTTTTAAATGAAAAAGGAAATTTATATATAAAAATTATGATTGCGTTTGGTAGAGTTTTGTAAATATGATTTGAGAGTATGAGTTGTATTTTGAGTTTGTGAGTTGTGGAATTATGATTTGAGTGTAGAAAATTTGTTTGGTTATGCTTTTTTAATAGAGTGTTGAATTGAGTTTTGAATTGAGTGTGGAATTGAGTTTTGAAAGTTTGATTTGACATGTGAAGTAAGAAAATTTGTTTGGTTATAAGTTTTGGAAAGAGTTTTCAAAACTTAATTCAAATTGTTATAACTCATAACAAAACACATTACTTTCACACTATTGAAAATTCTGATCAACACTTATAACCAAACTCTTTTTAAAATTCAATTAAAAAAATTTATTATTAACAAAAAATAACATTAATCAATTTTTTAATTGAAAATACTACAAAGGAAATAATTTTTTTTCAAAATAAATATTCAAAAAATTTAAATCTGGTCAAGAGAACACAAACTGATTAGAAAGGACACCAATCAACACAAATTGATTTGCGTCCGTGACAATAGTTGATGAGTAATTCAAGCTCGACTTAAAAACTTAATGAGTTTTAAAATATTCCAGATATTCCAAACCGAATATGAGTCGAGCTCAGAGTAGCTTGATTCATATTATGGCCTACGTTTGGTAGCTAAAAAATGTGCATAAATTATTATTTTTTAAATGAAAAAGGAAATTTATATATAAAAATTATATTTTTTTAAAAAAAATAAAAAAAAAGGAAAATAGTACTGAGAAACAAGTGATTTACGTGAAAACAACAATGGCAAAGAGAACCGAGACAATTCATGCCCAGTATTGATGCATCCTAAGTAAGCGAAGACGCAAATTTAACAATATCCAGTTCCAACCTAACTTGAAATGACTCATAACCCATTAAATAGACCACCAATCAATGTTTGGAAGCTGAGAAAGTAAAGAAAGCTTAAACTAACGCTAAAAATCAGGTAAACCAAGTAGAAACACGAAAGAAAACGACAAATGTAAAGTGGTTCAAATTTAACAATATCCAGTTCCAACCTGACTAAAAATGGCTCATAACCCATCAGATAGACCTCCAATCAACAATAAACACAAGAAATTAACTGTTTGGCAGACAAGAAAATACTAACGAAAAAAGAAACTGGATGAGAAAGTAAGAAAAAGCTGAAATTAGCACTAAAAATCAACTAATTATGTAGAAACGTGCAAGTAAACGAGAAATGTGAAGTGATTCAAACGAAGATTAAACTTAAAACAAATCACAGTTAGAAGTGTAAAAAAAATGAGGTTTAAATCAACCTGATTTTGAGAAGAAGACCTAGAGATTCTTCGAAGGACTCAATGGTGATTCGTCGGTAGACTTCTGCAGAGAGTTGGGATCGAAAATTTAGGGTTTCTTGGTGGAAAATTTATAAGCGTTTCTGGAAAGAACTCCATGAGAGAGCGAAGGAAAAGTTTATGCTTTATATGGAAAATGGGCGGTGAAAGAAGTTAATTTTCATTTTGGCACGAAATGAAAAAGGGATTACTCTTGAAGCGGTAAGATGTATGTAACTGAAAAACCGTTAGACGTTTCGTATCTTATATTTTTGGTTAAAAATATATTATTTGTCAAAAGGGATGTCTATCATTTTAAAATCTACCCACCTATTTATCTATTTAAATGTCATATATTTATGTATATATATATATATTATATATTAATTTAATTATTTCTTTAAGTATCAATAACCTGTATATGTGTCACTTATTTATTTATGTACTTGATTAATATCATCAATCTATCCACTTGATTATCACCAGCCGCTGCCGACCACCGCCACCGCCACCGCCACCATCATCCATGGATGACTTTCAGACGACTTTTTTAGCCAATTTTTTGATAATTCTTCCGATGTCAGTAAATTTTCGATATATATCTTTACCACTAAAAAAAGATTAAATCTTAAACCAAATAAAATATGACCTAATAAAAATGAACTTTTTACTAATTAATCCTTTTGTTTACTCACCTTATAATGGTTGTTAACAAATTCGTCTCTTCCCTTTCTTTTTCTTCTTCCTTTTCTTTTTTTATAATAAATTTAGTATTTTAGGAATGTATCACATTTAGCAAAAATTTTAAATGAAAATTAAATAACCTTCTAAACAGAGCTAAAATTTAATTCCTTTTCTTTTTTTATAATATTTTTAGTATTTTAGGAATGTATCACATTTAGCAAAATTTGTAAATGAAAATTAAATAACCTTCTAATTAAGAATTTAGACTGATTGGTTTTAATTAAGAATTTAATTAATTATAAATTGTATTTTGTTTAGGATACTCAGCTAGAACTTTTATTGGCTTAATCTTAGATATTTTGGTTAAAAACATATTATTTGTCCAAAAGGGATGTCTATCTTTTTAAAATCTACCCATCTATTTATCTATTTAAATGTCATATATATATATTACATATTAATTTAATTATTTCTTTAAATGTCAATAATCTGTATATGTGTCACTTATCTATTTATGTGTTTGTTTAATATCATCAATGTATCCACCTGATTATCACCAGCCGCCGCTGACCACCACCACCAGCGCCACCATCAGCCATTGGTGACTTTCAGATGACTTTTCTACCCAATTTTTCGATAATTTTTCCGACATCAGTAAATTTTCAATACGTATCTTTACCACTAAAAAATGATTAAATCTTAAACTAAATAAAATATGACCCAATAAAAATGAACTTTTTACTAAATAATCCTTTTGTTTACTGACCTTATAATGTTTGATAACAAATTCATCTCTTCTCTTTCTTTTTCTTTTTTTTTATAATATTTTTAGTATTTTAGGAATGTATCACGTTTAGCAAAATTTTTAAATGAAAATTAAATAACCTTCTAAACAGAGCTAAAATTTAACTCCTTTTCTTTTTTTATAATATTTTTAGTATTTTAGGAATGTATCACATTTAGCAAAATTTGTAAATGAAAATTAAATAACCTTCTAATTAAGAATTTAGACTGATTCGTTTTAATTAAGAATTTAATTAATTATAAATTGTATTTTGTTTAGGACACTCAGCTAGAACTTCTATTGGCTTAATCTTAGATATTTTGGATAAAAATATATTATTTGTCCAAAAGGGATGTCTATCTTTTTAAAATCTACCCATCTATTTATCTATTTAAATGTCATATATATATATATATATATTACATATTAATTTAATTATTTCTTTAAATGTCAATAATCTGTACATGTGTCACTTATCTATTTATGTATTTGTTTAATATCATCAATGTATCCACCTAATTATCACCAGCCGCTGCTGACCACCACCACCATCGCCACCATCAGCCATCGGTGACTTTCAGTCGACTTTTCTACCCAATTTTTTGATAATTTTTCCGACGTCAGTAAATTTTCAATACGTATCTTTACCACTGAAAAAAGATTAATTCTTAAACTAAATAAAATATGACCCAATAAAAATGAACTTTTTACTAAAATAATCCTTTTGTTTACTGACCTTATAATGTTTGATAACAAATTCATCTCTTCTCTTTCTTTTTCTTTCTTTTTATAATATTTTTAGTATTTTAGGAATGTATCACATTTAGAAAAATTTGTAAATGAAAATTAAATAACCTTCTAATTAAGAATTTAGACTGATTGGTTTTAATTAAGAATTTAATTAATTATAAATTGTATTTTGTTTAGGACACTGTCTAGAACTTCTATTGGCTTAATCTTAGGTATTTTTGGTTAAAAATATATTATTTGTCCAAAAGGGATGTCTATCTTTTTAAAATCTACTCATCTATTTATCTATTTAAATGTCATATATTTATATATATATATATATTACATATTAATTTAATTATTTCTTTAAATGTCAATAATCTGTATATGTGTCACTTATCTATTTATATGTTTGTTTAATATCATCAATCTATCCACTTGATTATCACCAGCCACCGCCGACCATCACCACCACCACCACCACCATCAGCCATCGATGACTTTCAGCTGACTTTTCTAGCCAATTTTTCAATGATTTTTCCGACATCAGTAAATTTTCGATACGTATCTTTACCACTAAAAAAAGATTAAATCTTAAATCAAATAAAATATGACCCAATAAAAATGAACTTTTTATTAATTAATCCTTTTGTTTACTCACCTTATAATGTTTGTTAACAAATTTATCTCTTCTCTTTCTTTTTCTTTTTCTTTTTCTTTTTCCTTTTCTTTTTTTATAATATTTTTAGTATTTTAGGAATGTATCACATTTAGCAACATTTTTAAATGAAAATTAAATAACCTTCTAAACAGAGCTAAAATTTAACTCTTGTTCTTTTTTTATAATATTTTTTAGTATTTTAGGAATGTATCACATTTAGCAAAATTTTTAAATGAAAATTAAATAGCCTTCTAAACAAAGCTAAAATTTAACTCCTTTTCTTTTTTTTATATTATTATTTAGTATTTTAGGAATGTATCACATTTAGCAAAATTTTTAAATGAAAATTAAATAACCTTCTAAACAAAGCTAAAATTTAACTCTTTTTCTTTTTTTCATATTATTATTTAGTATTTTAGGAATGTATCACATTTAGCAAAATTTTTAAATGAAAATTAAATAATCTTCTAAACAGGGCTAAAATTTAACTCATTTGGACGTAGAGCTCACCTCGGTTTACATAATATAATCACATTGGTTAATCTAACATGTGTCACATCATGTGACATTAAAAAAATGATAAATATAATGAAAATAATAATTTATTTACATTGAAAAGAAATATTTTTTAAAATATCCTTAAAAGCTTCTAAACAGGTTAATTTAACATGTGTCACATGACATTAAAAAAAAATGATGAATATAATAAAAATAATAATTTATTTACATTGAAAAGAAATATTTTTAAAAATATCCCTGGAAGTTTCTAGACACACTCAGGGCCGGTCCTGAGATTTAGAGGGCCTAAGGAAAATTTCGAAAATGGGGGTCTCTCTTACATTAGAAAAAAAAAGTTCATGAATAAAACGATAAGTTACAACTTTTTTATTTGTTTATAGCCACAAAAAAAAAATTACTTGCACATATAATCATTAAAATTATAAACAAAACAATTTAACGAAACAAAATTAGGGCAAAAAAATTAAGAAAAAATTATTCAATTAAAATTGATAAAGACGTAGGTAAAAAAATTGGGGTAAAATTATTTATTCCAGTAAAATCTAATAGATAAAGAAGGTAAAAGAAAAAATTAGGGCCCATGTATTGTATGTATTATTCTTCTTGGGCCCAAACACTTTTTTTTTAATATATATTTTCATTTTAATAAATATGGGCCAAACACTTATAAATATAATATGGGCTAAAAACCATACATGGACCCAATAAAAATATTTTGGGAGCCTTTAAAAATAAAAAAAAAAAAAAACAACAACAACATTGGACCTATAACGTTTTACTAAATTTGAGACTCTGTTTTTGGGCCAAAATTTTGGGGTTTAAGACACAGGCCTTACTAGCCCTATGCCAATGCTGGCCCTGGACACACTAGTTAGTAATTTTATATGAATATAATAAAAATAATAATTTTATTTACATTGAAAAGAAATATTTTTACAAATATCCTTGGAAGCTTCTAGGCACTATTTCTTAGATAGAAGAAAAGCATTATTAAACACACCTATATTAAAACATGCTTTGATTTAAGAAAAATTAAATTCAGCCTATTTAACTTAAAATATTTACAAAATAATGGAAGTGCAGCATTTTTGTGAGTAAATAAAACACAGCAAGTTACACCACCAAAAGATTCTCACGTTTTTGTTATTTTTCCCCCCACCTCCCATTGATTAGTAATTTCTCCTCTCTAACAGGATTGATTTGAACATTGGAATATCCAATTTTGGGTTAAATTATCATAACCAAATCTTCTTTTTTTTTTTTTCCTTCAAGATTGTAGGATATTAGTTTTTTAGAAAAATTAAATTACAACTAAAGGTGTAATAACCACATTCCGTAATATGCTATTAATCAGTAATTAAGAATGCTAATTAAGTGTTTAAGATGAAATTATGTGTTTATTGTGTGATTTATGTGATATTTGAAACTGTATCTGTTAGTTGTAGGATTATCTGCTGAGAATTCTGCTTTGTTATGGAAATTGAAGACCTTAATGGCGTTAGAACACGAAATTCACTAGGTCAATAAGTTATTTTGAAATTTTAGAATTTTATTTCAAGTTTAATTAGATTTTTTATTCGGATCCAAATAATTAGAATAAATTAATCAGCTTAAGTTAATTAAGACTATATCAATGTGATATAATGAGCTTAGCTCATTTTGTTGAGCTCAAAACCTATCTAGAGTAGCCTTAAAGAAAGAGATAGACCACACTTTGAGAGAGATTATCATCTAGAGTAGAGGAAATGAAGAATTGTCAAGGAAGGAGATTTGAGAAAATCTAGCTAATAAACTTTAAATCCAAGCTCTAGGTAAGATCATCACTCTAAATTTTTGTAGAATTCACC